CGTACGTGGTTGGAATTTTCCCACATACCTAAAAATGATCTTACTGCAAAAAAAGGTTACATACACATTCTTATACACTTCTGCTCATACATTTTTGGTCAAAGCGAAAGCTGCTGCTGCTACATTGTCTCCAAAAACAACATAAAATACTGCAAACGTACACTTTTTTTCCTTCCAGAAGCATTCCATTTACTTTTTCAATTGCCTTCTGAGCACTTTCTTCTGTTTCGAAGTGGACAAACCCGTATCCCTTGCTGTTCGACTCTTCGTCATTAGCGACCTACAAATTTTGCAATCAGTATAACAAAACACCTCTTACTTTACAGATCTGATCCAGTCAATGCCGATTTCTAGTGGACATTATACCTTAAACATATTAAAATGTGCTTCTGAAAATACCTTTGACCAATCGAACTGTGCTTTAAAGAACTTTGAATCAATCAATGACGACTATAGTGTTGTGTGGTATACACAATCATATTTTTTTGGCTAAAACTGATGCTATGCTAACAGATAGTTAATTTCACAAACAAACCTTGCAACTTAGGATATTTCCAAACATTGAGAATGTATCGTAAATGGCTTTATTGTCGATACTTTTGTCTAGGTTCTTGATAAAAATATTGCCAGCACCCGAACGACGCATTGATGGATCACGCTGCGACCACATAATACGAATAGGTTTACCATACATCATGTCAAAGTTCATTGTGTCTAAAGCCCTCTCCGCTATAAATAAAAATCAGTGTACATAGGAATCAGAGAAGCGAAATTATTTGCTTATAGACCATCGCATTATAGGGTGTAGGTACGAAATTTGGGAAGTTAAGAGATTTCAACAATGTTCCATTACATTTTCTACAATCAATATTTTGGAAATAATTCTGTCCAATAGTACAATAAAAGCAGATGATTCCCTGTTATACAACTTTAATCCTTAATCCATGTCCCAATCGTTTCCATCTTTTATCTCTTGTAGTGTCTGCACACGTTACAATAAAACATGTAAGATTAAAATCTTAAGTATTTCATCATCTAAATACACTATTTCGTGATTGCAAATTCCTACAATGGGCTTATAAAATTCGAATTAATCAAGCTATGTTTTAGTTTTATCTGTTTCAGCGTAGAAAGAAGCTTAACTTGGATGTAGTGTCATAACAGTTAAGATCAGCAGGGTGAAAAATATGACAATAATTTTAGCAATTGTATGGCTAACCGTCGGCAGGCTGTTGAAAGTTGACATAAGCATAACCCAGTGAGCGTCTCGTGATTGCATCACGGCATACACGAATAGACAGTACTGGACCAGCACTGCTGAACTTTTCAAAAAGCATTGCTTCGGTTACATCAGGATGCAAATCTCCAACGTAGAGCGAAGCCATTGGATATGATGGAGTCATACCAACACCAGCTGTTGCTACTATTGCCATTTTCACTTTTTTCTTCTTTTGTTTTATTCACTAAATTTGTTACTAGCGACCAACTTATATCGTTACCAAATCTGAAAATTGTTCAATTACATACTGAGTAATATTGGTTAATTTTCTTTACTTGAAAAAATCTGAAATGCATTAAAAATCTTTAAGAAAGTTCTGAATTTAAAGAGCCAAACATCCACCATTCACTTTCATGTACCGAAACAACTAACAGAACTAGATAGTGCCTTATCAAAGATCATAATACACGGAAGAAGTATCAGAACCACACAATAAATTATATATTGGAACTGAAGTGTCTCCCTTTTCTCAATATCTACTCCAGTACGTGAAACTCTACACCACGACCAATAATTAAACAAGAAAACCGAAAGAAAAGAAAGAAACCTTATGTCTCTCAGCTTTAACAAAATGAAACAAGGAGAGACATTGAATTTAAAACCAAATCTAACAACATCGAAATTTACATATTAGATAAGCGAATATATGCAAATTGGTAGAAAAAACATATGAAAGTTTAGGCATATCTAAGAAAAACAAAGAATACAAAAATAGATTGCATAATATATGGGCATTTTACGATTTGCTGACACATAAAGGCCTGTACCTTAAATCTAAATGAATAAAACAAATTTTTGACAAAATGACAAAATTGTAGTTACCTATTTAAAGAAAGAAAGCAGAAATAAAAGGGATGAGAAATGAGGAAGGGTACAAGAGATTAATATAAGAAAGTGAAAAATTATGAATGGAAGCTCAAATATGAATGGAAGCTGAAGCAAACTGAAAGATAGGTTATAATCAACAATATCATCAAAGAAATTGAAGGAAGTGTTTCATACATACAGTCATCTTTCTAAAGCCACTGTTAAAAAAGTCACAACATATGATACTTCTCATTCAGAGAAAGCACAAGACATAGCTGAAATTTAATTGGGATAATCCAACAAATAAAAGTTACAACTTGACACAAAGAACTCATACTACAGTAATAAATGTAAGAAATATGAGTTCAATTTTACGACTTCTAGTCCTGAAATGGGTAGATAAATGAAAACTGTTAAGTACAAAAAGTAAAAGTTGAAAAGATATGAACAAACCTTGCGTAGGAAAATGTAATTGATCAGCTTAGCAATACCAATATTCTTCGTTCACCTTTTTTTTTGTAAAAACTTTTTTGAAATTTTGTAATTTTTTTGGGGGAAATGGATTTTCTGACGAACAGACAGAACTTTTAGGTAATTTTTAAATAAATTTTATGATTTTTTTTTTGAATTTTTCAAATAAGAAGCGAGCAAAAGAGACAGACAGGGATGCGACCCCAGCAGGTATGTCACAACACACTGCACACCTCGATGTCGCCCTTCGAGCAGACAGACAGATGCAGACACTCACACAGACTCACCCTTTATACCTTTCCACACAGCACTTGCTCACTATCCTATGACAATGCTCACCCTCTCGTCAGGTTCCTACAACGATTCTTTAATGCTTGCATGAATATTTCCGTGCTATTTCTTTGATATGAACAATGAGTTAAAGATAGGATAAAAGGATATGAAGATTAGAGATAGGAGATACTTCTCCTTATCATTTCTGTCCGCTTTCCCTTATCAATTTCAGGAATTTACCAAATCTAATCTAAATCTTAAGTTTGGCTTAATGCCAGTTATATTACGAAGTCACTTGGTAAAATGCCAAATAAGGTAGTTCAGATAAGGGTGGGGGAAGAGGGAAGGAGAGAGCTGTGTGGACGTAAGAAGGAAAGGGAATGTCAAGGGTCATCTGCGAAAAGAAATGTATTAAATGGTGGGAGAATCTATCAGTTAATCTATCTCCGATTGTCAAAATTTCTCCAACTCCACCAAATATTTCTCATCGGCATATGCTTTCAGGAATCGCATGATTTCACTAATCTGGATAAGCTGTTTTACAAAGCTGCGTTACAAAGGGATGTCAAATAAGATAGAGTTATGGTTAATCCTTTCTTTGTTACATGTTTTAAAATTCTCTTTTCAATTTATGTCTATCAAAATTGCAAAAAAAAGGGAGAAAATGGGATATATTCAATCTTGTTATCGTTATGTAGCCTGATAACTCGTAAGCAAGTTGATTACTTGCATCATTTTTGATTTTTGATAACAATAAGAAGAAAGCTGTACAAATGACAACAAAATAAGTTGAAAAATCTATTCTGAGAAGTACATTTTTCCATCCTGTCATAATATAAAACTTTGAAATGTCGCATAACAAATATGCAGCATACCATAAATGATAAAACAAAATCTGTTCAAAATCGAATCGAAATACTTTCCTAGAGTTCTGAGACATTTCAGTCGAAAGATTCAAAAATGTTATCGAACAACGCTTTCGATAGAATGTTCCCAATTATATTGATTCCGTCCAGCATATTATGATTTGTCTTAATTTTCTTTTTTTTGTACAAAGAGCAAAAAATCTAAATTTAAAGCATGAAAAAACTGTAAAAAATGACATGGAATTTTTTCTTCAAGTTTTTTCTCATTTTCAATAAGCCTTTCAAAAATTTCCAGATCACTCAAATGAACATTGTATATCTCGATTATGCCTTTATTATTACTTTTTTTCAATTACGTAATTATTTAATTAGATATTACATCAATGTTGCAGAGGATTAGATCATTTAGGAGTTATTTCGAATATTTCTGATACATTCAGTGATGATACTCGAGTGTTTTACTAATATTCACAATGATTCCAATCAATTCTTATCAAAGTTAATTAGTATTACTTTATTCTTATCAGTAGTAATCCAATCTGTACATGTTATCCTTATCACTCCTCATCATTTTGTTTTCCCGCTTTATGTCTTGAAGGATCGTAGATGAGTGATAGATGATAGGTGCTGAAGTGAGTGGGAAATGATGACGACGATTCAACTACATCTTGTAGCATCATCACATACATCTCTACGCTTCTTTTTTCCTTTTTTTTTTTTTACTTTTCTTTTTGAAAGAAAAATGCTTTCTAAATGATGTAAGCCATAATTTTTGCATTGGTATTTCATATCTTTTTCCTTTTCTATTTTCAATATTATTCCTGTGTTGAACGTAAGCTGCTGGATTGCTATCAAATCATGAAACTCTTTGTCCCTTTTCCCGATTGATCTTTTAATTTGAAAATTGTAAAAAAGCTTCAGATAAATTATCCAATAAATGCCCTGTTTTTGTGCCGTCGATAGGTAGTTCACATTATGCAACTTTTGAGTATCTTTTAGTGTTACTTCTATCCATTCATATCCCTCAGCTTTCAAGTTATTTTCAGAACTTCCCAAAACGGAATATGACATATATTTGTTTATGCAATAATAAAATGAACCTTATTTATCCGTTGGAAAACTAATGATAATACTTCTACATCTATTAATACGTTTTGAATGATTATCTACTGTTGGCCATTTGCTTCGTAACTACTTGTTTTAACTTTTGTGAAGTGTATCAAATTTTTTATATATTATTTTATTGAAGTGTACGCGAAGTTTTAGAAGGTCACTAGTTTATTGCAGAATCTTTTGCGATAGAAATGAATGAGAAAGGCATGACATGTCCTATCACAAACGCAACTGGCATTGCGACAATCAGTTTGAGACCGATAGTGCCAGATAGACAAGCTTTTCAGTAGGAACTTCGTAAATATAATTAGAGTATTAGTGAAAGGTTCGCGAAGGTTACTTTTAGTCTTCAGTGCTTGATTTTCTTTGCTTCAAATTATTTCAGTTATTATAGTTTTTAGGTTATGTTAAAGACCGTTTGGCGTCTTGAGATCTTTTTCTACTAACTCTTGAAGCTAATAAATATGCCTTTTAGTAATTTGAATCTTTGTCTATCATCCCCTATTACCATTATGCTGACCATTCACCACCAGTATTGTTTACTCATTCATTCACTGTGGGGTATGTATATATGCTTATAACTTCGACTGACATACCAATTAGCTTTATTCCACATCTCTACTAAAATATACAGAAATTTATAAATAATTGGTAATATGTTTGCTTCTTGATAACTATGAACTTGTTATAAATGCTTCATTTCAGTATGCTTAATGCTTAATTTTTTAAAACCTCTTTCAACTGACTGTAAAGTAATTTTTCGAATGCGTTAGTCATACTTCTTTGTCATGTTTTCCTTTATTTGCAGATCGATAGAATTATCGGAAGGGACTTTGAATTTGTTGAAGCAGAGCAAGTAAGAACCTTGCAAAAGGAGGGAACAATTGAAGATTGAGGATGATGGAATGAAAATTGAAATTAATGAAATCAAAAGATTGCTCGCAGAAAAGGTTAGCGATTACCTTATGTCGTGAAATTACTACCCTTCTCCTTCTTATTGTTAATAGTAAAGGTTTAACACCTTTACTATCAAAAAAAAAAAAAAAAAACCTAGGAATGACAAAATGATAGTTTAAAGTTCAGAATAAAAAAGTTTGATCTAGAATTTCTAACTAGTTTGGTATTTCTTGTGATTTTATAACATATTGTGATCATTGTTTTTATGAAGGGGAAGATATTATTTTCAAGAAATGGGTTCATTTATTGAAAAATGATGAACCGTACATGTATATCTTCTTGAAGATTCTAGTTCATCCAATAATGAAATTTGATTTAATTATATATAGTCATGAAATGAAAATTTTATAGAATGCATTATTGCCCGATATAGAAAATGATTTGGTCTACAGGGATGAAAGCAAACTGACAACACGTTTGGAAGAATTGGAGATTACATACTCTCAAACGAAGTTCACTTCTAGTCGTACTGAAAATAAGGAAATCGATAAACTGGAACGAAATCGAGCCAAATTAGCGCAAGTTTTTTAGTCATTGATTTAATTTTTATTTAATTAGCGTTAAACAATGAACATAACTGAACATTCATTTTAATTCCGAAACTAGTATATTAAATTTCTAATAGTTGTTGTTTCAAAAAAAAAAATACGCTCAGGTAGCTCTACAGGACCATTTAATGGTTAGAAGTATTTAAATCATCCTCAATTTTACGTTAAGGGTTTTGGAAAAAATATTAAAAAAATAGAAAAAATATAGACATAAACTGAAACTTATATAAAATTAGCATCTTTCCAAAGTAGCAGGTCAACCCAGAAAAACTTGGAAAAAAACTTTTGCGGAAAAAGGGCTGAAGATTTTGGCGCAATAAACAGGAAAAAAACGAAGAAAAATTTGACGCAATAAACATGAAAAAAAACATTTTAGGAATTTACTAGTGATATTAAAATCCTATTTCCAAGCACAAGAATGATCTGAATGGAACACAAGAATGATCTGAATGTAGTTTATCCAATCGACATGTAAGCTAATTTTAGTCAGCTAATTTTATTTGATTGTAATTTTCTTATGAATTCATAGCATTGATTTCATTCAAAATACTTATAAAATATTTTCTTTTTTTTTTTTCGTATTTATTGTTTGTACAATAAAGCTCATTTTTTTAGGAAATATAATATTATCATGGAAGAGAAAAGAGTTATACAACTCCAGTTGTGTGGAATCAATGAAAGGGGTAGTGGATGTTGCTACACATTCCATCTCTTTACCGGAACTTTTGTTAATTCTTAATATTATAAAGTTTACTTCTTAGCCCTTTTGGCGATTTTTTCCTTTCGATGAAAACAAATGAAGCAGTGGATAGTTACAACAGGAAGAGGAAGGTGTACATAGATTAGTTTATTGCTTAATGTTGTGGATTCCTAGTAAATTTTGGTTACGTATTGTTTCTAACAGATTATAGGAAAGACTTCCCTTTTACTTTGGTTTTTTTTAATGTTTTTTTTCTGATTAGTTTTAGTTCCTTATTTTGATCCTTAATTTTATTTTTATTTATTTTATAGTTTCAAAAAATTTTGTATAGTTTTGTATAAAAATTAGTAATTGAAAATATAATTTGTTCTTTAATTATTGAATTAAAATGCGCTCGAAGACGGCTTTCAATAGTTATTTCAATTTCAATTCCGAATATTCACGAACAATATCTGAAAGTATAGATGAGCTTTGCGTTTAAAATCTCTTCACTAAAATCATATAGAAATTATAGGACTTTTTTTGATTCCGCAATTATTTTTAAATTTATAAGATTTTGAAAATTCATAATTCACTGTTTAGTTAATCATTTATCATCATAGCACTAGTGAATAAGATGTAACATAACATTTTGAATTCAGTGACTACTAACTTTAATTTTTTTGATGACCCTTTTCTGCAAACTATCTAGGCGCAAAAGGAATGAAAAGCGGAAAGAGTATTTTCGGTGTGGAAAATACAGGAAAATATTTTGTTTTAAATAAGCAAAAACTATCAGTGCTCACTGGTGAGAACAAGTTAAAATTATAAACAGTCGATTGAATAATTTTGGTGGCACCTTTCACAATTCCCGGAAATCTTATACGTGACGAATAATAATGCAGTAGGAAGCTATCATCATTATTCAATTCATAGCGAAATCATACACCTATGAATTGTTAATCACAGTTATATTCGTAGAGTATCATACACCCATGAATTGTGAATCACGATTGTATATGTCTATCATACATCCATGATTTATGATTCACGATTTTATATATCTGCGTACGTAAATTAAAGAAACTTGATTAAACGCCATTCTAATTCAATCATTCCAGAAACTTCCGCATGATTGCAATGAAACAATCAAAGCAAATTAGAGATACCGCTACTGTCGAAAAGATCCAGCCAAGTCAAAAGAATTCAAATTGATTGACAAACAAGAAAAAGGGACCTTGTATTTTCCACAACAAAAATCACTGGGATAGCAGGTATCACATTTATTCAACAGTCGAGCAATGAATTGATCGATTGAAGGAAATCAACGTAGCGAATTCGACTGTAGAAAAAAGAGCAAGTTGTTTTTGTTGTAAGAAATTTCATAACAGATCCCTTTGTAACACTAGGACTCATGAACCAAAGATTCTGAAATTGATAAAGGAAAGATTGTGATAAAAAATGCAAATATATCTATCAGTTCGACCACGAAAGTCGGAAAGAAACGAATATTGCTTTTATGTAAAGAAGTTGCTGTCTTTGATCTTAATAAATCTGAACATCAGGCACAAGCCCTAGTACTCTTTGACGTTGGTGCTGATGCAATCTTCATTTCAGAAAAATTAGCATATCGACTTGATCTCCTTAAAACTGAAGAAGAATATAAAATGTTTTTCTTTGGCAATAAGATCTCCAGAGTATGCCGCATAATTCAAACACAAATTGGAATAAAGACGGAAGGTTCCGAACAAATGACTGTCCATGCCATTTATTGGATTATCTAACAAACGATGTTTAAGGGTAAAGTAGTAGACAAAGACGAAATTTCCAATCTTAAAAATTACAGAAAACAATCTGACATAGTCATAAGAGCTATTTTTTCGATTTTATTTATATGAAAAACACTCAGCAACTAAAGTCAAGAACAGGAAAGTTCCTAAACACATCATAGCAGGAAGTGGTTACATTGACGTATTATGTCTCGTAACACTTTTGCAACGAAGATATTCCAAGAAAATCGTGCTCCAGATACAGACAATTTTGAAAGTTGGACTGTATTTGGCATTCAAGATCGATCTGATACACAAGAAGATGAACAAGCACTAGAACAATTGAAAAAGCGTATCTCTAAACAAAATGGGAGATATGAAGTGTCGTGAATAATTGTTGTGGAAGGAAATTTTTGTCGTGAAAGATTTGTTCGTTTAATTATTAATTTTGGGAGAGGTTTCGCAGAGAGATTCGTTGGATGTAGGTATAAATACGTGGAGTAACAGAAAAATAAACCAATTCCTTTATTAGCAGAAGTAATAGGAACAACTGAAATTGAACTCGTCTGGTTCTTGATAACAAATTATACACACACATTCTGAAATCTTTTAACAAGTGTGACCCTTATATAGCAATTATATCTTACATTATGTGTGTTAAGAGTGGTTTATATGTGGGAGTTGATTTATAATTAGACATTTTTGTACAAAGGATAAATTGTCGAGACATGACTTTTACGTTTTGCAATGGTTATCACAATGGACTGAATATCATAAAAGAAAGTACAATGGGTTGTCTAGACATTATGATAAATGGTTACTATAATCAGTTGCAATAAACATTGCATGGTAGATGCTCATAGTATGTAAATTGATATAGGATCAAAAGTCAGTTAACCATTACGATGAATTGTAAAAGACATCAATGGATTGCTACATTAAGCATTGTTAACATTTATTTAGTGCTTCGTGATATTAAAATCCGCGGCAATAATTGATTGACTTTATTGGTTAGTCGAATATACAGAGTAGTAATACGTAATACTTGAGAAGAAAAATATGATTGTCGACGATAGTGAACTACGAATCCAAGAAGCGAGAGCCTCTTATTTCATATTAGATCATATATGCTAAGAGTTGGAAGTGGTTTACAATAGAATTACAAAAAATTACATGTATATTACACCAAAGTTCATTTGCACAAAGGACTACCAGATGTTCATTTGCATAAATTATAACAAAGGATTAACGTGTGAGAATAAATTGTTAACATTTGATAACAAATTTTAGCATATGACTAATTGATTTCTTTTTTTTATCTTGGATTATCGCGATATTGAATTCACGACACTCCCAAAACGGGAGGAGAAACCTTGAATAAGAGGTTACACTGTCGCGAATTATAATTTCGCGAAAACTTCTATCTAAAAATATATATCATAAATTATCTCTATATAAATCTAATTTCTTAAGATTTTCACATGTGATTTTCATCATAGATACGTTCAATTCTCACATTGTAATTTCCCAATTTTTTTTTTTAGACACTTCCGACTCTTCAGACATTGTAAAACAATCTTACAGTATCTTAAATTATCTCTCTTTAAATCTAGTTTTTTCGGTTTATTACACATGTAATCTCATATCATAAATTCTCAATTCTCATGAACATTTCCGATTCTTCACATTTTTATCCTAGACATGCCCAATTAACACTCATATAAAATTCAATCCTAAAAAATTACAATTATTATTTGTCTTTAAGGTCGATTACTACTCGTTAACCAATTTCAATTCCTCCAGTTTTCTTTTATAAATTTCTTCTCTCTTTTTATTGCTCGATTTATTAATATTACGTCTTCGAAAAATAAAGATTTATTAATCTTCCTACTGTATTGCAACTGTTCAATATCAACCAGACAATCTTTTACGACAGTTGGCTACACACAATTGTTACCTTCTTCTGCGCTCTGTTCAGATATTTTTATTTATTTAGTCAATATAATTCTAAAATTATATCTAGTATACTTTTTATTTCTTTGAGTGACTGTTAGCTCCAACAGTCATATATTATTAGAGAAATTTGAACGGAGATTTTTTCTTAGTGCATAATAAATGGAATCATTTCATATCTTTTTGTTATGCAAAACAAAGCAGGATGTATGGTGGTAAAACTTGAGGATCGCTTGAATGAGAATAGACAGATTGTATCAGGCTGGGCAAGTTCAGTGCAGGACAGCAATGATTTATTTGGCTTGTGAATACCCTAGGGATCCTTTGTCCACAAATGTATCCCACTTATCCCCTTTTTTGCTTATTCACTTTACCAATGCAAATTGCTTCTTTTGCTTACATAGTTTCAATATTGAAGGCTTCAAAAGCTATACCAATAGCCTGGTATATGGAAAAAAATTTAGGACTTCAAGAGTCTTTTCAAACTAGACTTGACAAGCTGGTCTAAGATGGATAAAGTTAGCTTGAAAATAATCTTAAAAATTTTGTTTTCACGAACAAAGACCATAATGTTTTTTCCCAGCTACTTACTTAGGTATTGTCAAAGATATGATACATGTAAGACTGATTAAACTGAGATATGGCGAATATTACTGCTTTTATAAAGTCGAGCCGTAATTTAAGAAATTTTTAACAAAATGTTGCAACTATTTGGCTTTCTAATTTCAGTAAAGCAAATTAATATCAGTTAATCCTTTCAGTATCCTTTCAATAACATAGATATTTTTGAAAAAAAGAAAAAAACTAAAACAAGTAAGGAATAGCGAATCTGTAGACTAAATTTCCTGCATGCTATTATTTTTTGAGATTTATCTGTTTTGAATATTCAAATAAACTTTACTGAAGATTGCATTATTATATTATTCCTTTCAAATACTTTGGAAGAAAGAGAGGGAGAGAAGAAAAGGTGTTATCAAATTGTTCGCTTTGTCGTTGGCTCGAAATTTAGAAATTCCGGAAACTAGAAAGAGAAAAGTACGTTTTGCGTGATGAAAAAGTGAAAGAAGAACGATGACCCATCAGACTAATAAGTCTGAGAATAAGATGAACTGAACTGCTAGTTTGCCTGATGCGCTACTGACAGCCATGCAGGAAAGAATAATCTGCTCTCTGTTCCAGTTCAGGAACAGAATGTGCTTGCAGACACATACACATACATACAGAGAGGCATTTTTGATGACAATGGGGATTTTGTTTCATTTGTTTCATTTCAGCATTCAAAGTTGTCATCCAGAGAGCTATTTGATATGAAGAATTTAAGTTGAACGAATGAATATTTAGTCACCACTTAGAATCCACCAGAATATGCAAAATGTGAGGAATGGTTGGCAATTGCTATTACGTGACGTATAATATGATGACAGTGTTGTAGACGCTGTTTTTATCCGTATAATGTAATCTTCTGATATAAAGTATGACTTGAAGCAATATCGAATCCCATCCTTATCTTGTTCATATTGATTTGTTCATGTTGGAAAATGTGGAATATTGATTAGAATGCTGAATGTGCTGTGATAAATAAGTAAGGCATAGGATAGGCACCTCATTCGCCTATATATATAAAGCCAATGCAAAAGTTTGCTTATTTTATTAAGTGAAAGTATTTTTTTGAGTTGCTCAGCTGCACATTTAGTGACATTTCGAAAGCTGCTGAAATGGGTCCTGGGCATGCATTACACTGAAAATAACCATTTCTCCGCTAGGCCATTCATCATCCTGGAGTGAACTCTTCCCCTCTTCCCTTCCTCCCGAATCTACCTCAGCCTTCTGCTTTTGCATCAGAGCTGAGTGGCATCCAGTTGCTGTCCTCCTTTTGATTACTCATTAATTTTTTTGGACCCGTTTTATCTTTTCAACTTTTTTAAAGCGCAAAAAAAAACGAATCTTTCAGGAAGTACAGTAAACCTTATATATCTGTCTGCATGCGACTTGCATATCATGCATGAAGAAGCTAGGAGGAAGGTTATCTATGAAATTCTCCAATGAGATCTACACTCATGCATGTTGTAGGAGTCATTCCCGAACTGTCTACTTTTGAGAAGTAAATTCGATTGGGGGAACAGTTAGTAAGTCATTAACTTATTCCGTACTACTTCCAGTATATAACTGTTAGGATGAGAAATGGGCTAACTAACTATCTACTGAACTTTCTTCATAGCTATGTTGTTGGTTTCATCTGCTTAGGCTCCATACTTTTGTTTTCACATTTATCGATTATGATTGCTTGGCAATGCTAAAAATTCTTTTTAATATTTCCAAGACCACAAAACATATCAGACACGATGCAACATAAAAAAATTTCATATAATCCTTGCACTTACAGTTTGCCAAACTCTGCAACTAATGATATCTATGAATTCAATGCAAATTCATATAGCACAAATAGTTAAGCATTTTGTTGTTTGCGATCGATAGAACTGAACTATCTTTTTTCAATTCAGATTTATTAAAAAAGCAAAAATGTGGTGTTTGCAGGAGTTTCGTTACCATATTTCTCCTATTTCTACTCAAAACTAAATTCATACTAGTTTAAATGTGTAAGAGATTTTTGAAAGTCTTGTTCATCATGATTGAAATCTGTTAAATTCAGATATTATTTCGGACCAGACATTATAGATGAATGAAGTCGAAGAAAATGATATGAGTGTCCTCACAAATTCTTTTGAAATAAATATATGAGTGCCGTACTGTTTTTGTTTTTTCATTACAATACGGATTGATCATTTTGAAATACTCACCTATAACGGTTACCTTATTTTTTTGTATTATATATTGTTAATAATAATCTTGTAGTACTTCTTACCATAATAGATGACTACCTTATCATTAGGATTGGCATATATTGCGAGAAGTACATATTCGATTTCATCATTAAAATTTTAATGTTTTTTTATTTTCAGGTGATAATAAACAATAGATCATTTTGATGGAAACATTATTACTCACATGTACCAGCTGATTGACCGTACAGAGTTCCTTACAACAGTACATAACTGATTGGATTTCCACTTCATGTATATCCTACTTACAATACTTATTCACAGAACACTACTGTATTAGATTTTTATATTTTAGTTTTTTTAATTTTGCATCAAAATTATTGAATTCATAGCACTACGCTGCACGCCGACCACTTGAGAAAATCTTCGCAATCCTGATAACAACCTGATAATGATTGCTGAAACCGTTCGAAACCAATTGTCAGAGTTGCGTGTCTTTATTCAACAATCCACATCAGCCAGCTTAGTTGCATCAACGTCCCGCAAATTTAGCGACTACGTCACTAATTGTTTAAATGCGATAATATGTATAGGTGCGCGCAAGTGCGTCACGATAATGTATGTATGTTAGCAAAGAAAAGACGCGACGAAGTACTGCAATCGAAGTTACTTCAACTTCTGCTAATGTTGTTACTGAGAGTATTGCAAATGATGTAAAAAGTGTCACAAGTGCTGCCTGTGCAGTACCATCATGCAATACAGACAAGGACACCTGTATCTGCTGGACGAAATTGCTAAGCGATTCTCCTGCTGACAGCACCCGCTTCTGCTCAAACGAACAAAGACGAGTAAATTGGAGCAAAAGGTATCATTGGTACCACGAACAACAACAAACCATCAAAAAGCTGGAAGTGATTTGGAAGTGATTCACAAATAAGCAGTGCTATAATAGAGTTTGATAATTATTCACAATCGGGTAAATATTTACTTTTAAGCAATGAAAAGTTATTAATGACCTCGAGATTTCATGGGAATAACTCATCAGCAAGAGAAGAAGAAGAAAGTTGTTGTTTCAGCAGAGAAAGAATCGTTTACCAGTCGTATCGTGACCTCAGGTGACCTCACGCAACAATACAACACTGCCTCATCTTCATTATCATCATCCATTCGCTCCCAAAATCCGACCATTCATTATTATCGTTATCAGCAACGAAGCCGCTGCATTTTATATGCAAATTTAAAACTGTTTATTTATTGGCATGCATTTTCGTTGTTAGCTTGTTTTGCAGCAACGGGATTGTGTGTGCGTGCAGCCATCAGTGAATCATTTCTAAATGACATGAAGCATACAGAAAATGATATCCCAGATATCCCAGATCTCCTACAGCAATCATTGAAGTATACAGCATCCATAAGCACCAATGCCACCACTGCTGATAATTTAATATCTACCCGTCCGAATCCATTCCTGAGATATTCTCACTCCACTTCTGTACGACTAGGATTGTCACTAGATTCTGTTTGTTACATTTGGTCTTCAATCGCACTTCTTGATTTGTGCAAGCTAGCACCATGGGCACGATATCAATTTCTTCGTAAAATTTCCATCTTTAATCGCAAATGGTTAGAGGAAAATAACATCAAAGCGGCGCAGCTAATTCGGCTTACGCCGAGATATGTCAATGATGAAGCGGATCTATGAATGCGAGCAAAATTTCTTCTTGCAAATATAGAAGGACAGGATTGTATTTTAGCTCCAGCAGGTGCTCAACAGTGCCTTTCTTGCTTTCAAAAGGTTTAGTAATTTTTTTCGTGCTCTAAAACTTGGTATGGAAGTTTCAGAAATTTATAGAAACTTGTGCCGAAATTATTTCATTTGCATTGTTTTAAGTAATATTTGAAACGTTTTGAAATTTTTACAGAAAATAAATTTCTACCGTTTTTGTTCTGATAATTAAAATTCGGAATTCAGCCAGATTGATCAACTGGTGTTTTCAGTGTAGAAAGTTTCTCCCTTTATCACTTTCCTCCAAATAAATTTTAAGCCATGTCACTTTTCCCGATATTTTATATAATGGGTCATTAATGAGATCTATATAACTGATTTATTAATTTAAATATTTCTTTAAATATATTTTTCTAATCAGTGAAAGGTTGTCTGTTTGTTGATATTCGAATTGTTTGCAATACAGTAGAAGGATTAATAAGCCTTTATTTTTCGCAAACGTAGTATTACTAAACAGAGCAGTAAAATAAAAGAGAAGAAATTTATATTAAAGAAGAAGATCGGAGGAATTGATATTGGTTAACAGAGAGTAGTCGACAATGATGATAATGATTTTTTTTTTTGTTTATTAGAATTGAATTTATATGAGTGAGGATTGCGTAAAAATCACATGTGTGAAGAATTCGAGGTGTTTACAAAGAAAAGATTAAAATGAAAGCTAATTTCAATTTTACATAAAAATCATATGTGTGAAGAATTGAAAGTGTTTATAACGAAAAGATTAAAATGAAAGCTAATTTCAATTTTACAGAAAAATTACATGCATGAAGAATTGGAGATGTTTACAAAAAGGAGATTAAAATTACATGTGTGAATACCGTAGGATTGTTTACAATTTAAAAAGAAGAGATGATTTATGATACTATGAAATTAGTTAGAAGTTTTCGCGAAATTATAATTTGCGACACTTTCAAAGGGGGAGAGAAATTGTTTTAAGAGGTAATTTTGGGAGAGTGATTTTGAGGTATATAGTTAAATGTATGGAATTTAATAGGTGGGATTTCTTTTTTGGTTAGAAATTGAGTGTGTGATGCTTCTATAGGGGGAGTAATGATGGTAGTTTGATTTGAATTTCGTTTTGAAGTATTACAAAGGAGAGATTGAACTAATTTAAATTTCCACTTAATAATAACTAAAATAGTTAATAATGTTACGATTATTATAGAGATAAAAATCAATTTCCAATTTGTTATCAAGTTTTCAAATTCTTCTTCTATCGGTAGAACAATTTCATCGAATTCCCTTTCCATTTGTTTGATAATTTCTTCTCCTTCTTCAGAGATTTCTTGCCAAAAGAGTTCATCCTTCATTTGATATGGTATTGAATTAATTGTTTTTTGGGTTTGAGTTAGGATTTCCAATTCTGCATTAATTCTTTCAATTTCAAACTTACTTATTAAATCTCCTTTGAATTCGATATTTTCGATTGTTGATTGTTTTGATTTGCAAGGAACCACCATCAAATTTCTGTTAATTCTTTTAGCTATCACATCATTTCTTTGAAGTATTAGTTTCTTTGGCAAGGGTAGGATTGCTGATTGATAGCCATTTGATCAAAAGTAATAAGTTATTTCTGTTTTGGCAACTTCTCTGCTGTGTTTCTTTGAGTTGTTGAAGGAATTCTTGTCTTAGTGAATCAGAAAGGTATTGAAGTTTTACATTTTCAGGATCGTACTTTCTATCCAGAGACTTTTCCATCATCAATAGTTTATTTGTTACTCTTCGTTTGAATTTTGTAGTAGAGTTCGAGTCATCTTCAACGTTTAGTTCAATAACTATATCGCCCTGCATTAAATTTGGAGAGGTGAATTTACAATTTTTAGTGTTTAATATAGGGGTTTTTATCAATTATAAGCAATGCTTGGTTGTTATACTTTGTAGCCTTGAATCTTCCGATCTTTCGATATAAACAATAATTGGTCGTATCATTGCTATTCCATATGATAATGCTAGTATTCGTTATGCATTCACCCTTTTGTGTTGAACAGTCTTTTATATCTTCAAGGTTAGAGACTAACCATCTTCCATCGTAGAGGAGAATTTCTCCTTGAATTAATATGAAGTTTGACGTTGATTGACAGTTAACTCCTAACCATCCATAGGAGTATTGTATTTCCTTATTCGTTATCCATTGATTAGGAGAAGATTGAATTAGTCCAATTCCGTTCATTTGTTTTCGAACATTTAAATATCTGCAGAATTGTGAGGAGGTTGCGGTAGTAGACGTACGTATGGTCTGATACTACCGATAGTGATATTCTGAGAAAAGCTTTCGTGCATACAGTCCGTGTAATGTTACTACATTTTATAGCTGGTATTCTTACATGGGTGCGTGTGTACACATCCACTTTGTGATATGTAGCATTTTTGTGAATAATTTCTTCACAATTCCATTTTTCAGGAATATTAAAGGGTACTTCAGTAATCCAATTACAGCTGTTGTTAGCTAATACCTGTCTTGGTATTAACGACATCATTGTTATTAATGATAAAGTTTTTATCAAAAGATTAGACTTGTCTTTTGCATCGACTGTAGTTTGTGATTTTTTAGCACTTCTGGTTCGTCGAGCAATGGGTTCTTCCGGTTCATCTTCCACTTTTTCTTCTTTATCTTCAGTAGCATCTATTTCCATAGTACAAAGTATATTTATTGATCGATCGATTTGTTTTCCATTCGGTAATTGTATTGTTGCACTCCTTATTTTTCCATCCCATCCTCGATTAATTTTTATTATCCTTGCCAATTTCCATACACCACGAGGTATTTCTGGTTCATTTAGTAATACTATCTCATTTTCATGTGGTACTCTTTTTTCTATTATTCTAGGTGATTTTAATTCTCTTTGTGTGCGTTCTCTAAGATTTGTAAGATATTCTTCTTTCCACAATTTCCGAAAGACATCTAATGTGTTAAGAGTGGTAGTCCAATACTTGACTAATTTATCTTTAGTCTTTATTGTATAAGGGGTATATTCATCTTGATCACTATCATAATTTATTGGTAGATCTAATGAAGCCATAGGTGATATAAAATCAATTGGACGAATGATTCTGTAGTCGTCAAACCCTACCTAAGTTAATGGACGGGTATTAAGGATTCCTTCTATTTCAACTATTAATGTTATTAATTCTCCTTCCTTTAGAAGTTTTCTTCCTATTGCTCTTTCTAATGCCCTTTTTGTGAGTCCTATAAGTCTTTCATATACACCACCCCCCCCATGGTGCTCTTGTATAGTATTTTTCCATATCATACCCTTTGTAGCCAAAAAGTTAGCGTTTTCTTCCATAATGATTTTGAATACCAGTTGAAATTGGCTTGCATTATCGCTTAATATTAATTTTGGATATCCACGTCGAGCGATAAATCTTCTTAAAACATGTGAAAAATTCTCGGCAGATAAATTCTCCGCCATTTCAAGATGCACTGCTCTGGTAGTGAAGCACGTAAAAAGTGCTATCCATCTTTTGACTAGACCAGTATAAGATTTGACTAAAAGAGGACCCATATAATCAAGGCCGACTTGTTCGAAGGTCCTAGATCGTTTTACTCGTGTTTCTGGTAAACTTGGCATCGCTGGCAGTTTAAACGGTTTAGCTTTCCAGCGAATGCAATAACAGCATAGGTTTATGATTCGTTTTACAGCAGCTCTTCCTTTCGGTATCCAATATTTTCGTCTTAATTCAGATAACGTATGTGCAATACCTGCGTGATATAATTCATTATGTAAAATAATAAGATCGGCAATATAATTATGATCCGGTAAATATATGGGATATTTGCCCATTAATTCTGAATTTTCCAGTCGGCTCATTAATTTCCATAAGTTATCACCTTCATCTAGATATAGATTCCATTTTTTCTTTTCGTCCACCGTTAGTAATTGTGATTGGGCCTGTCTGATCAGCATAGTCTCTGCTATATCGTAATCAACTTTAGTCATATATTTCTTTTTTACGGATAATGGTTCTAGCCACACTGATTTCTTTTTGCAGGTTTGTTTAATAAATCTAAAAGTCCAAACAGTTACTCGAACTAGTTTTGTCCAACTGCTGAAGCGACATTCGTCAATAAATTCAACTGTATCAAACTTTTAAAAGTTTGAGTTATCTTTGTCAAATTCAAAGCAATTGCTTCTGCAAATTCATCGTTTCCTGAATAGCGAAGTTTACACTTTGACCATTCAGATTTCTTGAGTTCCAACCATCGAGGTCCTTTCCACCATTGTTTACAATTTTGGAGTTTAAGTGGTGATACTCCTTTGGTGGCTATATCTGCTGGATTTTGATCACTTGGTATGTATTTTAATTCGAAGTTAGATTTCCTTATTTCTTCGATGCGATTTTGTATAAATCTGGGAAGCAACTTTGTATAATTCTGGATCCAGTAAAGAACACATTTTGAATCCGTCCATAAAGTAACTTGATTATTTTCAAGATTTAATTGTTTCAATACGAACTGAGCTGCTCTTACTCCAATTAGTACAGATAATAATTCAAGTCTAGGAATTGACATACCTTTAATTGGAGCAATTCGAGATTTAGCATAAATCAAGAATGAATTCGAATATGTGTTTTGATATCCATGATTGCATATCAAAACACATGATTGAGGATATAAATAGCTGCAGAATAGGCAAGTTTCGAAGCGTCAGTAAATATATGAAATTCTGTTAATTGTGAAGTTTCCATTACAAATCTTGGCAGCTCTATTATATTTGTTGGCCATTCTTTGATGAGATTTATCCACTGTTGTTCGTCCTGTTTGTTTAAAGATTGATCCCATGGAATGTTTTCTTTCCATAAGTGTTGTATGAATAATTTAAGTTTGATCATTATAGGAACGAGAAGACCCAATGGATCGTATTGGGAGGCTATGAATTGTAGGATAGTCCTCTTTGTTAAACTTTTTCCTATCC